CCCCCGGGGCACCGGGCGGGCGGCCCGCAAACGGCGTTTACAGCCGCGGGGAAACGTTAGGAGCGAGCTGTCTTTAATTAAGAGATACCTGCCTCGCCGAGGTAACGAGTTGGGCCGGGCTGAGGCCCGGCCAGGGCCCAGCTCGGCGGGTGGCAAGCGCTTTCACTGACACAATCCTCACAAAATACCGATCCTCGGGGGTGGCGACTGTGGCTGGCACAGCCAGGCGGCCTTCCTCCCCTAGCGTAAAATAAACCTAGTTACAAATAAGCTAGTTACAATATGCCGATTCCTCCCACAGACGGGAAAAGGACACAGCTGGTGCCTGGATCCCAGGAGAAGCAGTGGGCACCGACGTGGGCACCTCCTTCCCTCACCCTGCCCCTGGACTTGGCTCCGTCCCGAGTCACCTCTGTCACTCAGCCGCCTTCTGCCTGACTGGCCTTGCAAAACACACACCAATGCTTTTTTGGGGAAGTCAGAAAACTCCCATGGAGGAAGCTCTGCCCCCGGAGTGCACAGTAAATAGGCAGACTAGCTGTGGCTGAACTCCTCCACAGAAGAACTCAGTCCTGATTTTCTACCGTTTGGTTTACACCCGATCTCTGATCTGTAAAGGTACTTAAACCCAGACTTGAGCGCATCTTAAGAATGTGCTCTAGCCAATTTGGTCATCCTCTCAAAGATGAACAGCTTTCAAAATAGGCAGGTCGGGGCCAAATTTTGTCTGTCTTGACTTAGCTGGAATAGCGAGGCAACCCTCAAAGGCTGGAGACATAAAAACGAGGTGGCTAAGCGCTAAAAAGAAAAAAAAAAAAAACCCCACAACCCCAAACCCACTTCTGAATTTCTTTCAACATATAGAAACAGAAGGAAAAAAAAATTAATTAAGTGAGAACCGGTGCTACCGGTGTGCTCAAAAAGGGTCAGGTAGATCTTTTGGAAAGAGCTGAAGCGTTACAAACGTCACGGCAGCTCAGGTCTCCGACCACAGCCCTGCCCCTGCCTGCCGCGTTCGCTGGGTCAGGACAAACACAGTGTGTCAACCACTGGCCTGAATTGAAAACGATCCATCCAGATTTATTTATTCCTACTAAAACAAAATCCTGTTAAACAGTACGTAACTCTGTGTCTCTACAAACTCACAGCTATCTGCCAAACAATAAAAATTCCAAACTACAAAAGATGAGTTGTATTCAGTAAATATAAATGGGAAATTTAGGCTTTGTGTAGAATGTTTATCAGACTATTTACAGTGCAACACAGATCGTTTGAGTTCAGATCTCGCCAGCTTCTCTCTCTTCTGATCTCTTGGAACGAGATTTGCCATTTGTGCTCTCGTGCCGCCTCTCAGAAGAGCTCTTCTCTTTTCTCTCTCTGTCTCGTGACTTTTCTCTTGAAGATCGATCTCTAGAAGATCTGAAGTACAAAGTAAACCATCGCTATAAAGCTTCACAACTAAAAGAATTTTCAAATATGCATAAAATTACAACATCTTCCCCTAACAGGGCTGCGGCATAACACAAGCTTCTTACAGAAATGTGCCTGGGTATTGCGAGGTCGGGAGCGGCGTCCCCCAGGACAGCAACTCTGGTCCCCCTACAAGCTGTGTGTGTAAGAGAACGCCGGGTTTGCAGCGCTGCGAGCGCGGCGCAGCCTTTTGTTTCTCTATCGTTAAGAGTGATCCTTTCAAGCTGTTGCCACAGGGGCTCTCTGAGATCCTCCCTGGGCCCCTTATTAGTTTACTGGGCCATACTAAAGCCCCTGCAATTTCTTCTTTGTCTGTCACTCAGCTCTGTTTGTGTCTTTTAGAAGACTGTTTTTTCATTACGCTCTAAGCTAGCGGCTTTCTGCTCAACTGCTTTAAATACCAGCTGTATTCTTTGGACTCAAACGCTTGCTCAGCCCTGGGCTTTTTCTATTTTGCACCCCGACAAGCGTTGTCCTTGGCAGCATCCTGGGTTCAAAGCCAGGATGATGCAGATTTATATTCACAAGCCCACAACACAGGCAAATCTTTTCACAGCCTGCCCAAGCGACAGCTACAGACTTTCAGCAGAGCTTTGCTGTATCGGCCCACGCAGAATTAAGCAGAGGGCTTCGCATTAGGTCCGATCGGAAAAGGCTGTTTTCCTGGATGATTCGTGCCAGCTTATCGACTAGCAGCGTGCCATAGGTGCTGACCCTGAACGAGCTCTAGCGGCCCATGCCCCTTCAGGACTAGGCAGAGGTGTTCACAGACCCCGCAGAGCCAGCACATTTCACGCTAGGACTCTGTATGCAGGGTTTTTTTAAAGTCACAAGAAAAGGACCTGTCAGGTACCTCAGAGGTTCCAGCTTTCATTCATGCCGACTGTAAGGCTTGGAAATACTGCACAATCAATACATTAAAACCTTACGGCCCTCTGCGTCACATCAACCATTTCATTTTCATTAAGTTGTGTCATTTAACCAGAAGATGATGTGAGTCTGTCTGATGAGATTAACTCTTTTCCTGCTCCCACAACAATGCCTGCTGCCTGTAGTCCTCCTGCCCCAAGATCTCCAGATCCTGCAACAGGCTCTCCATTTCTTTATACCAGTGAGACCTCAGACCAGCAGAACCTGAATGCAGGTTTCATTAATTCTCGAGGTGAAAATAGAAGCTACGCTCTTGCATCCAGAGAACAGTATTTTTCTCTTGGTTTTGCTTTATTTTCTTAAACTGATCCTGGTCTCTCCCCAGTTCTCAGCAGTTTTGGTAAAAGCATGTCAGCTGGCCAATCCCCCTACCATCTCGATGGGCTGATTTGAATGTGTTCAAGGTTTTCGAAGTAATCCCTTACCTGCTCTTTAGTAATAGTTATTACAGGGTCTTCCTCACTTCCTAATTGTCCAAACTTCTTTTCTTTATTTTTCATGTTCAAGACAGATTTAAAAAAGGACTTTAGTATCTCAGCCATTGGAGAATCAACAGTATTTACACCCCCCCCTCAATTATTAACAGACTTATTTTTTTCAGACCATTATTTCCCTCCCCTTCATCAGGAATCTTTAAAACCTGTTCTTACTCCTTAGCCAAAGTGACACAAGACACACAATGGCAGGTTTGTTTCTAGAACTGTACTTGAGTGGTGGTGCCTAATCGGGTGAGACAGTGCTAAAGTACTCCCCTATTAATTAGGAGCATTTACAAAAAGCCAGATCTAACTTCAGCAAGCACCTGGCAATAGACTTGCTCCTGGGCTTAGAAGGGCTGTAAGGAAACACAACGATTCCTTTCAATTTTTCCTAATGCTCCTCATCCTTCCTCCAGCACTGGGGGTGTTTTGCTGAGTTTTGGAAAAGACTGAAAGCCCTTCTTTGGACTACAGCACTTCTCCTCAGCAACAGGGGAGCGGTGTACTCCTCCTCCTGGCTGCCTTTTCCCCCTCCCTCTAGTGCAGATGCCTAAAGAAATCTCTGTCTCTCGACCAGCCGCCTTCTTACCCTAACAGAAGACTTCTCCCGAGATCCCAACTCATACACTTCCTTCCCCATGCCAGCACTGAGAGAAAGAAGCTGGGAAGCAGAAGGTAACCATAGAAATGTAACATCAAAACTGCCTCTCAGTTACTTGGCTTTTACAGGCCTGGGGAGGCTCAGTCAGCTCAAGCAGGCCTGTGTGCTGCTTGAAATACATTTCAAAAACCAGGAATTTCTCAGGACTCAGCACTGCCAATCAGGGAACCAGTTCTATCTCCTAGACTCTCCTCTCAAGCTGGGATCTCCCTGTACGGTTACTACCCCACTGCTCTCATGTGAGGCCATCTACGAACGGCCACTGGGAAATCCTGCTTTGGCCCAGGAGCTGGTACAGGACACTGCATCTGCTAACTTGAGAAACCAGTCATACTCCTACTCACTCTAAGGGACTGGGGCGGCTCACTGCGATGCCAAGGACTCCCCTTTCCAGAAGCACTCATGTCAGGGATACATACTTGTGTTTTGAACTCCTGTCTCTGGACCCCCGTCGGTGACCTCTGCTGTGGCTGCGGGAACGGCTCCGGTGGCGTCTGTGTCGGTCTCGGGACCTGGAGCGAGACTTCCGCCGTTCACGGGAAGCCGATCTCGAGCGTCTTCGCCTCCTATCCCGAGATCGTGATCTGAAGAGGACACAGATTGCCTCAGACTCAGGAGACGGGCCAGTATGTCAGATCTGCACACCTGAGCCCATCTCTCAGACGTTCCTGGGCAACAAATATCCAGAGCATCAGCACTGACCCCTCCCCAGCTGTATCCCTGCCAACACAGAAGGCAGATCACCCACAGGGTGGATGGGCATCTCCCTCCTGGGCCTCATGCTACCAATGAAATGCCAGTAGGTAAATCCGAGTTGCTGGAAAGCAACTTTTTATACAATAAAAAGCTCCCACCATTAATGTAAGCATGTGCCAATGCCTAGAGCAGAGCTTACCAACCGTGCCTCACTCAAAGTGCAGCCTGTGTAAGTAGAAGAGAGGCCAAAGTAAATAGCATGTGAAATTACCATAACCCGTACGGCAGTCTGCCAAAAAAAGAGTCTCCCTTGTGAAAGCACTGCACTTGAGAAGCAGATTCGTTTTGGTTTTAGAGCAGATTGAAACAAAGGATGCCAATGTATATGGAAAGCAGTAGAGAGGAAGATCTCCAGTTAAGTGATCACTGAGAGAAGGCTGTCATACTGCTAAGGAGAGCTCTTTACAGAGATGTGGGGGCTTTAATCTTGAATCTCTGTATTTTTGCATCTGAGGTATTACATATGTAACAGATATATTTCAGACATTAAAACTATGGAAGCGTATTCGGTATTTATTGAAAAAGGCACTAAGTATATTCTTAGACTCGTACTCTGGAGCACACAGCACCCTCTATCCTGACTGGGCATTAGCCACTATCTGCCTTCTAGCCCCAAGGGGCGACGTTAAGTTGCACAGCACCACTGAAGTGCCCAAGCAGTAGCTCCCTTTTCTTTCAGGGGGCAAAACAAAGAGACTGGGGCACTGAGCAAACTCCATTTGTGAGACCCAGGAAAAACCCTCAGTAACTAGACAGAAATACAAATAGGCATTTGGGAGAACTGCACACTCACCTTCGACGATCTCTATTTCTTGATCCAGACCTAGAAAGAAAGGAGAGAGTTAAACAAGAGAAGGTATGATATAATCAAGTGGGTTTTCAATAGAACAACCCATTCACCCTGGCAGCTCTTCACAGAAACACAACAGTACCCCAAGTAATACGTCAGTTAAAAAAAAGAACTTGCCATAAAACCATTAAAACATTTCATTATCTTCCATTTGGGGGGTGGGAAAAATGGGAATTTGTCAAAAACTGCAGAACTTTGTAGAAACACTAGTTTCTACAAGCAGAGCTTCTTGTCAGAACAGAAAAGGTCAACAAAACAATTCAGCCTCTGTTAATAAAACACCACAATGAACCTTTCCAACTTGAAGTCTGCTGTGCGTATTTGATATATACACTTTACCCTCCGCAGTCGAAGATCAACTAGATCAACTCTCACATTTTCAGGAAAAAGTGCCACTCTCCAGTCAGAAAGACACTTGACAGATTTCTGATTTTGGTTCCTTTGAAGTAGTTGCACATTAAAAAAGGTTTTAATAAAGACAAAATACAGGATTTTCTCACTCACCATGTTTATTTAACAAACATTAGATGGAAATTTGCATAATTTTTTTTTCTGGTAAAGATGAGCTAGGAAAGAGAGGGGACAGACACAAGGGAAGAACTATTACTGAAAAGTAACTCAAGACACACAGAAAATCCTTCATCCCAGGCTTAGAAAGCAACTTGGGAACAATCATCCAAGTCTCACTATTCTTTCTCAATTTCCGTGGCTTCAGAGCTCACGTACAGCACTCTGACCTTAACGCTGTAAGCATTAGCTTTTGACAGTCTGTAAATAACAATGTCACAATTCTTTCAACTTCTGAAGCGCCATTACTCAGCACCACTTAAAACACCACTCCACGTGAAAGATCCGCCCTCCCTTTTTCTCTACGGCCACGTTTCAGAGCCAGCCTACACCAAAACTTCACAGACTGTCTGAACAGTCTCGTTTTGCTTTAATTGAGAAGCAGCCAGTCTCCTTGTTTAGTGACTTAGAGACTCACTCTTGTAACTGCCCCCGTCTCCCCAGTGCATACAGACTCACAGGGGACGTTTCAGTTACACAGCCACAGAGCTGCCCTGGCACCATAACAGGAGATGTGGCTGAAAGTTACATGCAGACAAAATTTTTAAAAAGCAATAGGGAAGCATCTATTTTAATAATATCATTTAAACCCATACCTGGATAAGACAAGATTAGGAGAATCAATGGGCACTGACATTCCTTCACAATGGAATGGGATTGCTCAGTCATGGTAGAAAGAAAAAAAAAAAACCACCATCCCGAAATTTAGAAAGGAATGAACTCAGGTAGAAGGACTGTAAACAAGGTGGAGCAGAACTTGGGAGTCAGGCAAATGAACCACGTGCTGAGGCAACACGTAAGACGACCAGATGAAGGAAAAGCTGATAAACCAGGAGAGCAGGCAATAACCACACACCCCCTTTTTCATGTAACAGAACCTGACAGAGCAGCAGGACCTCCTGCAGATGCCTGGTAGGCAGCTGAATTTTCTTTGGTGGCTGTAATTACTCCAAGTTCTTAATGTTCTTTTCCTCCTGATCGCTTTATTCTGAACCACCAGTGCACACATTCACACAAAGCCATTCCACGTCCCCTGAAGAACCTGTCTGCCTTTCCATGCCTATGATCTGAGCAGGAGTTTGCACAATAAACTCCTGATAATCACTCCCTAGCACTAGACTTCAGGAAGCATCCAACGTCCAACAAAACAGCACTTTCCTTACTAGCCTGAATCAGCATACAGCAGGAGACAGTAGAAGACTGCTGTCCAGAGAGGCGAGAGGCTGAGCATTTTTCCCCACCCCCCTCTTTTTTGTTCCTGCATCGCACAGGCTATGTGCCGAGTTTCATAACCTGTGTTTTGTCCAACTTAATACAAAGGAAAATGATTTGGCAACTCCACCTAGTCCTGTTTACCGGTGTGCTCTGGAAGCAAATACTGAGGTCTGCTCTTCCAAGCATGTCACCTCTCCACAGAATTTCAGTCTTAAGACATTACTGGGTAGCCCACAGTCACCAGCGACACCAAACAAAGGACTTGTGTTTATTTACCACCAGGGGCGACAACCCAGTTCACTCATTCCTATGTGGAAATCACAGCTTAGTTGACAAGTTAATAAAGTCTGTGAGAGGTAGAGTTTCACAAGTGAACCTACAGGTTTCCAAGTTGTGTCACAGTGCCTGTAAGTCACCAAAGACTTCTCCAAGTCAAACGGTACTCTTTCTCTTACTGAGTAACACCATGAAGATGCTGCATATGAAGGTATGACAAGAAGAGTTATGAAGGAAACCTGTTTTCTCTGTTTTCTTGAAGTATCAAGCTCTGGTTAAGAGAGGCAGTCTGAAAGGTGGCAGAAGTCACCGATTAGTTTTTGATGGAAAAATGCCCCTGTAAGCATGGAGTTGCACAGCTCCCAGCAGAGAAGGTGCTCAGAAATCAAGACATCTGGGCTCTAGTCCCAGTTCTGACACTAAGTGTCCACTGGGAAAACTACATTCCTTCTCTGGGTCAAGTTCTCATTTTGGAGAGGCAAATATAATTTGACCTCCTCTGTATGGCACTCCTGCCTCCTTCATAACATGCTTTTCTTTGGTATCTGAACAGAGCAGTATACAGATGCCTCCACACAGAGTGAGAGCAAAGTCTCTAAGTGGTGCCACCCAGGGAACCAGCAAGAACTCAAGACTTTACACCAACTCAAGGCAGTTCTCAAACCCTTCACATTTAAAGCATTAAATACTCAAGAGATCTTCAAACCCCCTTATCAGATGCATCCATATATGGGCTAACTGTGAACACAAGAGGCTCCTTAACTCTCAGGAACTGATATAAAAAAAAAACCAACCAAACAAACAAAGCCCCACAAAACCAAAACCACAGACACGCCGCAGGAGGAAGCCAGCCAGCATTTTAGGGAGATCCAGAGAACTCTTCCTGAAGGCAACACTGCTGAGCAATTTTCACACAGAAATGGACTCCAGGAAGAAGCAGCACCATGGAGACAAGCACTGAGTCCAGGTTAAATGCGGTCCTACACTGTGGGTCAGAGCCTGCCACAAAGCAGCTGCATGGAAAAAGACACTTCTTGTTTCACTTCCATCTTTCTGTCCATAGCAACAGCATACATCAGTCCCTTTCGATTAACTCGTGCACTCATCAGCCAGTTCCGGATTTTGCGGCTCCCAAATATAACTGCATTACTGACAATCTTGCACGGATGCCAGAAAGTTGTGAAGCTCTACATGTGGTGCTGCAGCTCAGGAGAAAGCTGCAGCAGGAACTGGCATTTCATATGACACCAAGCAATCCACAGGGAGAGAGAACCCATATAAAACACCCTAACTGGAGAACGCATAACAATTTGGGGTTTACACCAGTCACCAAGCTGTAGCCTACAGAAAACCAAGCTGCTTCGATTCTGGTATTTCTTTACTAGCATTTCCAGCAACGTATACCCAGAAGCCAGCACCATTTTAGAGCATACTGCAGTTATGTATGTCATATGCCTCCTACATGGATGGCTGAAACACACTCTTCAATCGACACTGACGGTCAAAAAGAGCTTTCCACAGGCAGCAAGGTTGGTCTTTCTGACACAAGAGGTACAAGAGGAGAAACACGTGAGGTTTTCTGGGGAGATGCTGTGACAATGAGAACAGCACTCCTACTCAGCCACTTCCGTCTGCCTGACCACTGCAAATAGCCACCCTCTCCACACCAGGCTGCTTCGCTGAGCTGTTTACCTACAAAATGCCTGTTCAAGTAACAAAGGAATAGTTTTTCCAGTTCAGCTGGCAAGAGGCAGAAGAGCTTGTCCTGAGAATACCAACATTGCAGCCACTCCCACTGCTGAAGGATTATACACGTATGAGCAGAAGGTGACACACAGGGCTACAACAACCAGAAGCAGCCACTCCTTTGAATCCCTCGGATCCCCTGGGAAGTGTTTTCCAAAGCTGCGCCAAAAGCACCTCACTGTTATTGTAGAAGAGTTTCTGAGCAAGACAGGCAGCCCGACATCTGGCTCATGGATACCCGCTCCATTCCGCTGTCACCTCCTAGCCTAGAAGTAAGGAAGGCTGTCCAGGGAATTTTTGCATGCCTAGTGCCTTTTGAGCAGGCTTAGCCCTCACTCATCTTAAACTTTCCCAGCTGGATGTTGGATGAGGGTATTTTATCCAGATTCAGATTCCCAAAGACAGGGACTAGACCAAATAGAAGACTATAGGGAGCTCACATCTTTCAGATACACAATGGAGGTTAAAACAATACACATACAATCACTCTAAGGTGGGAGTTTTGTGCATTTGTTTTCATCTTTAACTGAATGCCAAGGTGCTCACATAGTATCTGGAACATTTCCAACAGCAGATGCTGCTTTCCTGCACTGCTCAGATACAAGAAATCAGAATATTTCAAAACCAACTTCGCAAACCACTTATTGGCTTCCACTTACCGTCTGCCCATTCTCTCCTCTCGTTCTCTCTCCTCTCTCCGTCTCAAACGATCCTGGTTTCTCTTCTCTTGCTTTTCTGCCACTGTTTTCTAGAAAAAAGTTCACATCGTATTTCAGCCATACAGTAACAGGTCAGAGAGATCTGCAGGGAGACTATTCAGGTAGTCAGACAAAGGTATTAAGACAAAGAATGGCTTTGCTGCATTTTGCTAGTCAAGATCTCCATCCAGGTTTCCATTTTCCTCACAGCTTCACTAACGTACATCAGTGCAAGAAATGCTACTCCCTACTCTGCTTCGAGTGCTTGTGTTCTAAGAGAGAAGCCCGTAAGCTTTGAGGCAAGGACCATTTCACCATGAGTATACACAACACACAATGAAACAGTGCTCTGGCCTCGTGCCAGCGATCAACCAAGGCTCTGACCTCACCATACTGCCTAATGAATGAGGTACAGGAATCACAACTCTCACTCAAGCAGTCTAAAGGTCTCTGTTGGCAAGCAAGGCCAGTACCACGGTTCCATCACAAACAGTTCCACAAAACTTCTAATCACTTCAGCTACTGAAGATCCTCACCAACAGCACGATATGAAACTTCAGTTCTAGCATTTTGTTAAGAGGTCTGAAAGTGCTCTTTAATAGTCAAAAAACCCGCAGGAACAAATTTCAGCCAAACCAATGAGAAAGAGCAATGGTACAGCTGCATATATTTGAGGAAAAAATGACAGCAGTGGTCTGGTTTGGCTAATTCTGAAGGTACTTATTTAGCTACCCAGAAATTACAGAACATGTGAGGCTACGCAAGCCTCCATTTGAAGTTTCAGGGATTGTGCAATCAGAAATTTCTGGGCTTCTACAAACAGTCTGCAAAGAACCCTGTACAAATTTAACAGAAGTGTTGACTGTCTTCAGAACTACAAGGAGAAGGTTTAAAACAGACAGGATTACCCTCAGCTGATCCAGTTTCTCACGAATCTGAATGAAACCCAAGTGTAATTTGCCTCCAAAGTGGTCAGCAAGACGCCGGTCGTTGTCATGGAGACCAAGATATGCTGAACAGACTTCACACACACGCAGCTTCTGCTGCTGGAAACTGGATGCAGGCATTGAATTTCTGTATTCTTCCTAAAGGGAGGCAAAAACCAGGCAAATGTCACGGAACCCTTACATAGTCACAACCCTCCAGAGAAACCCCTGTACAGAATTGCCCTGCTGCTTTCAAGAATCAAAAAACCACCCTCAGTATAAAGGAGGTGCTGTAAAAAACACTCTGTGGGCACAGCTAACCTGACAGTCTATCCCTGCAAGTGACCAGCGACCAAATATTTCAGAGGACAAATCCCCCCGCTCCGCTCCAGTCAGCTATCTTCACTGGATAAAAATGTCTAAAAAGTTTTTCTTCAGCCATGACACTACACTGCTAACGGCTTGCGGGCACATGGCTGAAACTGAAAAAGGAGGTGCTGGCAACATAGGAAAAGAGTTAGGAACCACCCAAGCCTAGCTCAGTCCTCTATTACAATTCATAGGAGTTCTGCAAGGCCGTACCTCTGCCTCTTTCTTTTTTGCTCGGACTTTCTCCACTTCCATCAGGATCTTTTGAGACTCATCAACATTTCCTTCAGCTCCCAACTGTTCGGCTTTAGCTAGGAGTTTTCCAATGTCTTCATTCAGCTCATGTACTTTCTCTGCCTAAAGAGAATAGTGTGTTTTTAGTAAGACAAAAAACTTGCTAGAGCTTGCAAGCTTTACTTTGTCTCTAAAAAATATCGTTTAATAAAAGCAGGAAGATGACCGTAAATCTCCCAAAGACAAAGGAATCCCAACAAAAAGGGATTGGTGGGCCAAGTACAGGCAATGCAGTCACAGACACATAGCAAAGAGAGAAACTAGACACGGAGGAGACAGTTCTGCTGCAAACAGTGGCACATTTCTGGCTTGCAGGACAGGATAGAGTCCACAAAACCAGCTTTGGAAATGCTTTGTATTGTCCTGATGAAGCAAGTTCACAAAGAGGAAACTTCATGAGTATCTACTAAGTGAAAAGACCACAATCCTGGGATGGATTTATTACCCAAAGCTATTACATTAACACCGAATAGTGGTGGTAGGGAAACCAATATGCTTTACTGTCATACTAAAGCATCCTATTTTAGAGTTCATGTTCTATGCTACTGTGGCCCTCTGAACCAGTAAGTTTGTCACAAGAACAGCCAGAGCAGCATTTGAGGAGGACGGTTGGAATCCACAAAGCCTAAATTCCCAGTATCGATGGTGTTAGGGACAACAGAGCACCAGTGCCCTTGCACAGACTTGCAGAACAAACGTTTAATGAGAGGACAATACCTTTGCAGACACTTCAGCACTGATCTCTTCCTGTGTCTCAGCCAGGCGTTTCTTGGCCAGTTCTGTTCTCCTATCACACTCTGCGATGAAGGATTCCAGGTGATCCATCGCCTGCATGTTCAGACAGAGTTGTGAATAAAGAAGCTCTCCGAGACAGATCTAGCTTTGACAGCCAACAGCTAGCTGGCACAATCCCTGTATAATGCACAACCAACCTCAAGAACGGATGCGTTGAGAAAAAAATATATGACACTTTGCAGAAAAAGTAAAATTGGATCCCTGCCCTTAAGTCTGTCATCTGCCTGAAACCTGACACAGTTCCTTTACTCTGACACACAACAGAATGCTCACATGAAGACTGCTTTGCACTGGAACTTCCAACACGTGAGTGCAGGTGCAAAGGCACTGGAATAACATGAAAAGGGCCAAAAAGAATTGTTCTTCTGCTTGGTCTGTTCCACCACAGAAAGCTAAATCTGGCAAAAGTGAAACCACAGAGCAGAAGGTTTTTAATGTCTAATCTCCTTCTGGGACAGGCCACCAGGTTACAATGACCTGGTACAGAGCAGCAGGCGTGGGATGCAAGGAATGCCAGAGGAGCCTCCCAGCTAGCTGGACTAATGGGGTTGCAAGGACCTTAATTACTTTTACAATTTCAAGTCAGCAATCAAGCCGGCATTCAGGAAGGGGCTGCACGTTCTTGTCAGATAACACATCAAGTAAGATGGCTAGCTGAAATGCCCACTAAGTTCTGTTGTTCAGCTGAATAACTTCCAAGAGGCAGTTTCCACAAAAGTAGCAAAAATTTCTCTGTACTCACATCCAGCTCAAAAAACAGGTCTCTCTCTTTACTTGCAATCTCATAATCTGCTCGCAGTGCCAAGTCATGGATCTTTGTACATTCTCCCAGGTCCATTCGCTGTTGAAAAGAAAAAGGACAATCAGTGTAAGAACCCCTCCATATGACAACAAGCAGCAGATACTTAATTCTTGCCAACTGTATCATATCAAAATACAGCCTCTTTAGGAAGAAGAGCTTCCTCTTAACCTGTCACTAACAGAACTAGCCAGAAGAACCACATGTTTGCTAGAACCCCTTTTCTAGGTGTTTCTGGAACAACACTGAAACACCCCAAATGTTTTAAATCCAGTCCTGTGACCTGCTCTAGGTCACAGCACAGCCTTTGAAAGCGCTGAGAGGGAGCTGGGAAGGCGCAGCACACTGCAGCAGCAACTCCTTCAACAGGCACTAACTCCAAATGCCTCCTATTACAGAGCTACAGCACAGTGAAGCATACGGCTTTGTACCCTGTTTAAAGCTCACCTGGAAAAGCACATCTGTGTCAAGATGAGCCCTAGTAACATACTGAAAGATAACAAATCATAGAACACAGACAGAATGCTTCCTATCAAGAGCACGTGGGACTTAACGGAATAAGGCATATGGCCAGTAGAAAAGCACAAACCCATGCTCAGCAACAACAGACTCATAACTCTACAGGTAGCCCCTTCCCACATTCAGCTCCAGCCTGGAATTTTAAAACCTGTTCAGAAAAGCTAATTTATATGCAAAATCCCATCTAATGAGAAACTTCTTGAGAGCATCTCCCTTCCCAGAAAGCTCAGACTTGCACACTGCCCTTCACTCCCATTGCAGTCGATGCTACTTAAATTTATTTTCCCCCAACCTAGTAGTTAACAGCCACATGAACAGAGGTTAATTATGCTCTCAAAACATGGAAATTGCATTTTGACATTATGAATATGTAACAGAGAGCACTTATTCTTAAAATAGAAAAACAACATTTTGAAAGCCAAAATAATAAAAGGCCTAAGTGTGAGCCACAGTATGAATGGCAGGGTACATGCCATGGCATGAAGGAACACCCCAGCCAGCCATCATCTTCTCTCCCTGTCACCACCAGTCCCAAGGAGCCCAAACCTGAACACAGCAATCTTCTCTCCCTGTCACCACCAGTCCCAAGGAGCACCTGAACACAGCACAACAGGCGTCAACTCACTGAGCTGCAGAAAAAGCTAAACACAGCTAAACTGGGATCAACACAGAATCCCCGTGGAACACCACAAACTAGAGCTGGGGGTGCCAGGGACACCTGTGAGAAGCAATGCACTCGGACAGCAGCAATGAAGTGTTTAGAATGAAGCAAAGCAACTAGAGCAAGCTCCAGCAGGTAATGCTCAAGTGTTCAGCAGTTACCTGTGTTATTAGCTTTTCTTTTTTAAACAAAGAAAACAATTCTGGATGACTCGCCACTATTTAGTCTTTCTTATTTTGCTCATTTACCAGAAACAGGAGGCCACAGGCAGCAGGCTACAGAAACAGACACTGCATCCAGGAATAGTCCTGCTGAGCTCTCTAACGGTGGAAATTTAATGCCTACAAAAAAAAGCGTTCGGTACTTTCAGAGCTTAATCATGTTCATCTTCAGGCAAGCCTCTTCAAAGAATGCTAGTGAGCAACTGCTATTTTACCACAGAAATAACTTTCCAGAACATCAGAGCGCGATGCGACTTAAACCTTTTATTCTTATGGTCATTCTACCGAGATCCCTTTTCAATATAGGGAGAAAAGAGTGATACTCCAGGTGATTCTCAAAGATCGTAAGTATTCTTAATCTGAACTCTTCTTGCAAAGTGATCCACTAGCCCCACTTCAGAGAAGGGGTTCCAAGCCAAAACTTCAGAAGAGCTGACAGCACGCTTGGTATTCCTCTCCCTGTTTGAGCTAAAATTCAGGAGGATTACCAGCTGATGCCACCTATGAATGTGCTGCAGTACTTCCACTGACAGAAATATGCTTACCGTTAGCTGCAAAGCTAACTCAGTGCAGGCTAACTTGTGTTCTCCCAGAATTTTACTCCTTTCCTTTTCCTTATACACAAGTTTCTGGGGTGAAAGGCTCTTATGACACCAGCTCATCTAAACAAAGCAAACATAAGCATGCCTTCTGCAGCTCTCCAGAATATTCCAGAGCTTTACTTACAGTCTGGACTCCTTCACTTACTCTGCACCTGAAGGTCAGTGCATGGGACTCCATCACATTTCACTGAGCACAGCTACCCAAGGGATCCAGCTCCCTGCTTGTCTCCTTTCAGCCTCCCGCTAAGGAATATCCGCACACGTGAAGGACGCAGCAATAACAATGCCTTCGGGGGGAAGATGCAACATAACCAGCACCAGAAGGCTTGGAGCATCTGTTGGAAGTTTCCAAAAAGATCCATAGGTCCTGATTTCTGCAATACTACCCCATCCAGAGATGGACACTACCCCATCCAGCTGAGGCTGGCTCACCCACACAGCTCTTCCCTTAATGAAGCACTGTAAGATGCCAGTGAACCTGACCAAGATTACAAGGAAGGCCTGCACATTCCAGTTAAGTCTCATTCTGTGCTGGTAGTGCTGACAGCTGAAATGCTGTTCCGGACATCACATGTTCTTTCAACACAGATCTGTGGCTCCAATACTTTTCCTTGCCTCCAAGAACCTGCTGACAGCAGCATTGAGAGCTCCACAGCCACTTCAGAAGGCCACCACTCGTTTGAGTGAACCATGAGATCACTCATGCAGAAGCCATCTTCTTTCCTCCTCCTGTGCAAGATTTGAGAGCACAAATTCCACAGCAAGAGGGAAGAGACAACTCACTGCAGACAAGTAACAACAGAAGCAAGAGAAAAAGATTTCTTAATGTGCTCCTCTGCCCCAGGAGACTCACAACACATTGGAACACCTCAGACTTCCTCAACTTCCTCTGTGCTTTGGCACTAGCTCTTAGAGTCACGCACACCAATTAATTCCACCCCTTCGACCAACCGTTTACCTTCTTCCTGGAAACGTGCCAGAAGACGCAGAAGGCAGCCCGCATCTTCAAAACACCATTTGGGGCCCAAAAAACTGGTGTAGAATCTCATGTCAAAAAATATACCCTAACCACAGTGAGCCACACAAAGGATGGAGGTGGGCAAAGGCGATTTAAACAGCTTTAAAATTCTGAAATGGAAGTGAAGTGATATGGAGGCTGACGGAGCGATCACTGGAAAATACATCTGAGCTTCAAATTCATTAAAAAATAAATAGAGAGATATATAGAGACTGGTATTCAACCTCCAACCTTATTCTGCAATAACAGCCACTGAGAAGCTAAAGTCTGAGTGCTCAGAGCCGAGGCAGCTTTTGCTAAAGCTCTTTCTACTAGTGCTGCCAGAGTCTTGCTATCGCAGCGACAGAGAGGAAGGAGTGCCAGCCCTCCCCTTGGTTGGTAACGCACTGTGTCAAACCCAGCTCTTGAAATAACAGCAGGAAGGGCTATAAATAACAACAGTATCTTTAAACAATCTGGTTAAGCGGATGGACAATGTGAATCGCCACAGTATTTACTGTCAAACAGTGAGGGTAAAGATGGATTTCAAACACCCATATTCATCTCCATCCTGCAATTCTGTAATACACCAACGATTACAAAAGACGTACACTGTCTTCTTTTTGAAAGTCAGACTGCATCTTTCATCTGGGTGCCTAAACTGAATACTTACTTCGCAAGATCTTGCTGTTAAAAGCCCACGTCACCTTTTGCTCTCGGAGAGAGCATGCGAGCCAAACCTTTGAAAATTGGCCAGCTCTGTCCCCAGAGGGCAGCAGCGAAGGAGCCGACCCAACTGTTTCAAACCAGTCGGGCAGAGTGACACACCACTCAGACCAACCAACTCTAAAGACAAAGTTGGCCGGAGCTGTAACCTGCCATTAGCACGCCAACCAGTAATAATGAAAAAGCTGCCATTCCAACGGGACAACATCACATGGCAGGAGAGAGGAGACTGAAAAGCTCCGAGGAATAAGGATTATTGCAGCTGGTGAGAAAAAACTTGCTAACCTGAAGATGCAACGGTGAACTAGAGCGCCCAGGACGGCAGGCTAGCTATGATCTTGTGACCTCCACAGGAGAAGTTGCAGGCCCTAACCATCTCCAACTGCTGAAAGAGAAATAATCTTGCAACTTCATGTGGGATTGTGAGAGAAAAAACATTTCAAGCGAGTTCTGGGAGCTCCTGGCTTCAGCGGTTCCTTACACAGGTTACAGAAACTGGAATTAAAATTGTGTCTGCTCCTTGGGCACAGAAGGTCTGATCTCTCCTAGAAGTTACCTACAATGCACAGATGAGCTGTACCAATGTCTGCCTCACGAGAGTTCCTTATTACAGAGAATATACTTACTGTTCCGGCCAGGATATCATGAGGACAGCAATCCAGAAGGTGGCTCTTGCAAACACGATCGTCTGTAAACTTCACCCTTTGTCTGGTTTCATCTCCTGAAATTCATTTGTGGTTTTAAATAAGGAGACATTAGAATACCGATAAGAGAACAAAGAGGTCGGTATGATCATTTCGCCTCAATATGCAGATTAAAATACTTGGTGTTCCTGCTCCCCAAAATTACTCAAAAAAAAAAAAAGCTTCGAGGGTAACAGGATATTCTGGAACGCTTATAATTGGCAACAAACACTATTTTTGCATTTATTCATCCAGAACACCATGTTAAACACAGTGTTGGCGAGCCAAGTAACGTCCAAGGCCTGTCATCCATATAAAGAGACAGCACAGCCAGAAGAGAAAAAAGGAGACAGACAGTCTGGCTCGCAGCCAAGACCTTCACGCACACCCCTTTTTTTTTTTTTTTTTTTTTTTTTTTTTTTACTGTGAGGAAGGGGCGGGAGGTACCAAAACCCACACTATCGGAGGGCCATGAATCACAAAACAGGGCTGTGCTGGACAGTTTTTATAGGCGATTGCTATTTGCTCATCTGATAATTAAGACATCGGTCCATTTGGTTTGAAAACCAAATATGCAGTGTGCTTTCCAAGGCCGTGCAAAGACGAATCTTGTAGGTCTTGGCCTGGAACACGAAGCGTGCTTCCCACCCACGTCCCACCCTCAGAAGACATTTTACACTCAGGAGCCACTTAAACAAGACAATATCAGAAAAGCAAAAAAATAAAAAATAAAAAAAGGAACAAAGTTAGTCAATACACACTGCGAGCTCCAACATATACTATACCCATCTGCATTCTTCAAGACCTCAGCTGCAGAATTTTATGCCCACTGTTGAAAAGTTTTAAAGGAAAAGTTTTCTTGCCCACACCTGCAGTAAGGAAGTCAGGGGAATGATACATAAAAGTAAAGGCAAAGTGGTAATGGTATGTGACAATTTTAAAGCTCATCTGTGTATATGACACAGGTATGTGTAATACTAAAGTATGAATATAGTTTAGGGTTCGCAAGCATCCAGGAATAATGTTGTGTCTACTGAAAATGTTTTTTTTTTTTATTTTTTTTTTCTTTCTAAGCTACACTTTTAAAGTTACTTGTGAAAAAAGCAAACACTTTTTTTTTTTGTTATAACAGCTTTAAAAATTGGTTGTGACTCACGGCTCGATGAACATGAGGCTTTTCTGCAACTCCCTTGCAGATTGATGTAGGCAGGCAAAGATACACTGAACCTTTATAAATAAAATAGAGGGGCCACAATTGTTCAGTTTGTATGAAATAAAAATATGGGAAGCAATTCAATAGCAACTCAATACACAGAGAAAGAAAAGCACTTATTCACTTACGAAACAAAGTGCAAAGTACCTGAACAGCCCTGCTAAGGTGCCAAAGGGAATTTAAGTACTCAGCAAGCCGCAGAAGGGAGATACAAACCGCAGCAGGAACATATTTTGCACAGGCTGTCACATTTCTTTTCTTGGACAACAACTACAACGGCCGGCTCCTGCGGGCACACCTCCCTACGTGCCTCCACTTATTCACTTACGAAACAAAGTGCAAAGTACCTGAACAGCCCTGCTAAGGTGCCAAAGGGAATTTAAGTACTCAGCAAGCCGCAGAAGGGAGATACAAACCGCAGCAGGAACATATTTTGCACAGGCTGTCACATTTCTTTTCTTGGACAACAACTACAACGGCCGGCTCCTGCGGGCACACCTCCCTACGTGCCTCTATGTACGGCGTGGCCTGGCCACGGAGCTTTCCCTGAAACCTCTCCGCGGCAGCCGGAGCCCCGAGCAGCGGGCTCCACCCGGGGCTGGG